TTAAAGGATGGGCTAGAGGCTCCAGGCAGAGATGATACTGCAGAATCTCTCTGCATATACTGCTATGTAGAGTGTAGAGTATTAGTCTAAAGGCATTTCTGCATTCTAAGGGAGAAAAACAGAGGCAAAAAGATTAATTTATTTAACCAGAATTTTAATAAATGTTAATGTTACTAGGCCTTAGATAACAAAATAAATACTATTAATATCAACAAATAGATATGAATTTCTAAATGTGTTGTTGAAACATAAGATAAAACATGAATACACTAGATGTGAATTAATTTAGACCTCACTAACTAAAATATGTCACCAATGGTATAAATTAACTGATTCAGTAACAATACAGACATATACAGGGAGATTCAGGCTCTTAATATTTAATATTGGGAAAAGCAGTCCTACTGTAAACTGCGACTTGTTCATTTTACCTCGTGTTACTTAGTCACCACAAATGTTTTACTGAGTTATGTATAATGCTTAAAATTAACAAAAAAATTATTTTCAAACCTTCTAGCTTGATGATAAATTTAGGCCAAACTCCTTCTCTCATGTATATATGAATGAATCAGACCCGAAAAAAACTCTTTGGAAATATTCGACATCGCCAAAATAGGACTTTAAAATATTTCGATGTATATGAATTCTTAAAAAATAACAAATGTTACTCAGTCTTTATTTGAACACAGGGAATATAACATATTTTAGTATCAAAGGAACTTTGGATTATTTTATAGATACTGCTATGTATAATCTAGATTCATATTTGTGTCTGTTAATGAGTGCAATATTTAGTTAAAAATTATATAAGCCATTATTGGATATGACTTAAATTTCTTCTTAATACATAATTAACTCCTAATACAGAATTTCAGGCAAAGTTAAAAGTTAAATCTTACGTTAATTGCTTACCTCTTAAAATTCCTCAGATCCTTTAATCCAGACTGAAAAATTAACATAAATATACTGCAAAAAACAATGTTTAAGGGCCAAACTTTGTTTTGATCCCATGCTGTTAAACTAATAGTAGATGCTTTATGCAGCTTTTTAAAAATCTAAGTAAAACATGAATTCACAACTCAGTAATCTATTCTGACAATAACATTTCGGCTTTCTAAAATTTGTCAGGCTATTCATTAACATACTTCACTGACAGCATATAAAAACTTTTGAAGGAAACATTTATGGACTGCAAGAATTGGGCTAAGGAGGATACAAAATGAATAAGACCCGCTATTACTCTCAAGTAGCTTATAATTCAGCATAGAGGCAAATACACAGTTAAGACTACAGTTCCATGGGGTAAGTCCTGGGGTAGAGGCAAACGCCCAAAGGTATGAAGCACATTGCAAAGGCCCCAGCCCAGCACGGCTAACAGTGTGGGAAAGGAGGCAGTCTGACAGGCTTGTTCAAAGGGAGTGGAACCTATATTAAGTCTTCAGGATTTACAACTTATCCTGCTGGGAACAAGGCCCGTCTGGGGAGAGGCTATAGAATTAGCAAAGGCATAAAAACCTTAGAGAACCTGTAAGATTCAGGGAACCAAAAGAAGCCAGAAATAAGACTGGCAAGTCACAGGTAAGCAGCTAAGTCTGTGTGCTTCACAGCACACTTGGGAGCTTCTCTTCAGGGCAAGAAAGGGTCTGGGAAGGATATTAAGTAGAGCGCTGAAGTGATCAAGTATATATTTCAGAAAGACAATTCTAGAGCTAACTTAAAAAGCAGAAAAAGATAGTCAAGAGGTAATATAAAGATAAAAAATAAGGAGCTGAGGCAAAGACAGCAGCCCTGAGAGATACTGACAGTTAAGAATGGGAAGGACTTTGAGAGGAGGATGAAGGAGAAAAGGATGACTGCCTCTTTTCTGGCTCAACCCACTCCGTAGCTGATGATGCTGTCCCCCTGAGATGGGAAGTAAGGCAGTAGGGGAGAACTTCAAGGGAGGAGGGCTGGTGAGTTCATTTTTCAGCTCCTGAGCTTGTAGACCTACCTATTCTCAGGCGGGGACGTCACCTGAAGGTTGTTGTCGCAAGAATAAATGCATACTTATTAAAGACCAGCTGAATTTGTCAGGTAACTGTAATAGCAGCTAACATTCATGAAGTTATCGGTTTAAGCTAGGCAGGAGCTAAGTTTTTCACATAAGTTCTTTTTATTATCCTCCCACACTACAGATGACAAGAGTTTAAGTGATTTCCCAAAGAATACCAAGTGTTTAAATGTCCGGGATGTCTGATTTTAGAGTTCAATTCCTCACCCACTACATTATGTTGTGTAATGCAAAATTCATTACAGATTTTTGGAACAGATAAAAGTGGGTAAAAATTTAAAGTCATTTAAAGATTTTCTTCAAATAGAAATCATTTTAATGTAAGGGGGAAGGTAATTCTGACTTTTTTGACATATCTGTGGTGATAAATGACAAAAAAAGAAAACTCAAAAGCCATGAGTCATGTTGATGTCATGAAGAGAGCTTTGGACTTGGAGTCAGAAGACCTGTGTGAAGTCCCAACTCTGATGCTTACCAGCCATGCCAATGTGGGCAGCTCATTTAAACAGTCTTAAGTATCCCCTTGCACATGAACAAGATCAAGAGACTGGCCTATATGGTCTTCTATGTCTACAGATGTTGAAGAAGGAGGAAGGATTTTCGATGTTTATATTGACAAAATTAGAGCCCTTAATCCAGTAACACTTGACACAAACTTCAAGCTTCCTGTGGCTTAAACCGGGAGCACCCATTCGTGATGTCCTCCCATTCTTGATGTCCTAACCAACCACTCCACAGATCAGCAGCTTCCAGTCTGGCTGACCAGGCAATAGACCCCCTCAGATGTAAAGTTCAATGTGAGAAAGGGGAAAGAGAAGGAGACAGGGAAGAGCATCCTTTTCTTCTCTAATCTCTTCTATTCTCACCACAAACTCAGCAGCTGAGTGCAAGATGAGAAGCCAGAAGGTCACCCTAGATTTCTGGCTCTCAACCTGGCTGTACATTAGCAACACCAAATACTTTTTAAAAATTTAAATACTGGGCTCCACAACTCTAAAATATGACTAAGAGGGAATTATATTCTATCTATAAGTGCTGAGTTTCATTCTGCAAAAGGTGGTATGAAGTACCTTGAGTAATAATCTCACTCTAATATTGAACATGAAAACATATTAATTCTAACCTCCACTGTGTTAAAAACAATTCATTCTTGAGCACATACACATCTCAGAGATCAACCATCTCAGACTCTGCCTGCTTTAGCTCTGAAAACCATCTTAGACTCTGCCTGCTTTAGCTCTGAAAGTTCCATGTCCTGGGAAACCCCAGGGTCAATCTAACAACATACAGGCATGGACACACATGTGCATGTACCCACACACACAAACATTTAAGTAACCCCTAGTATGTAAGAACAAAGCACAAATAAACACTAGCCCTCTCATGAAGCATCACCATTAAGAAGAGAGCATCATTTACTCAGGTACACACATGGCGACACCTGCAGACCTCCGACACCACTGAGATCCATAACCATGCAAGGGCACGGGTGATGTATCATCATGCTATCATCCATTTCTCCAGAGTCTATACTATGAGTATTTAAGTTCAATAACCAACATTAAAAAAAATAAACTACTTCGAAACCCTGGCCTCCCAAATGCCACTTTTCTTTTCCAAAAGGCTCAGGCAATTTTTGAAGAATAACATCTCTATCATTTGACAGGTTTTTTACAGTTTTATCATTTTTCTTACATTTTGATTCTATGTGAGAACAAAAATTATATAATATATAATGAAATTAAACAATGGTCAAGTGTATATTTGAAGACTCCGTTATTTCTTTTAAATGGGATTATAAAAAAATTAAATTAACTTGGAATGCCACGTATACATCAGGACACACAGACCTCTGTATTTTAAACTTGAACTCATCCCAGAAATCTTTTCTAGAACCACACTACTATATACAATCATACTCTCCTCTATTGCCTGATAGAAACATTAGACTTTAAGATCAAATCATGATCACACAGGCCAATACAAAATATCATCGGTCAGCATAACACACGCTTGGTAGGTACACACATCCCCTCACTTGAGACATCACTAGTTGTTTGTGAACAGAGTAGCTTGGGCCAAAGTGGGCAGTGCTGTGGGAGGCTGAGGGAAGACTACCCACTGACTCCAGTTCTGCACAGCGAAGAACTAGTCTCATGGAGACACTACTAATGAGTTGCAAGGAAAAGCCATGTGCATCCTTTCCCTTTGAGAAATCAGATTCTTAGAATGACTGTCACCAATCCTGTGCGTTCTTCACTCTGCAAAGAGCTTAGCAAAATAAGGAAAGCCATTGAGGACTGCGTTTGCCATCTTTGAAATGAACAATAGACATGCTAGTAAAATAGTTGCTCTTTATATGCTTCTGACATTCAACAATAGTTGCACTATCTAAGCACATTTGAAATAAAACTAGCAAAGGAGGTATGTGAAATAGTTTGTACTGTAGAAAACACTTAGCATGATTTCAATTCCCTGCTCTTCCTACCAGTGAGTGGTTTTACAGGCACACAATCAAGGAAGACCACAATCGTAAGACAAACACCATCAATTTCCAAAGGTTTGTTTTATCACCTTAAGAGAAAATTTCCAAATCAACTAAAAAACATATTATTTTTTTTAATATTTTATTATTTATTTATCTTTAGAGGGGAAGTGGGGGAAGGAGAGAGGGAGAGAAGCATCAATGTATGGTTGCCTTTTGTGCATCCCCTGCTGGGAACTGGCCTGCAGGGAACCAGCCTGCAACCCAGGCATGTGCCCTGACTGGGAATCGAACCGCGATCGTGTGGTTCGCAGGCCCGCGCTCAATCCACTGAGCTACACCAGCCAGGGCAAAAAACATATTATTTTTAAAAAACTTGCTTTTAAAAGTATATTCATTTTAGTATAATTCTGAGTGGTTGTACCATAACTTTTTTCGGCAAACTGAGATTGAATGAAGACTTACTGATTGCTCATTTAAATCCTGGGAGTCTTCCATGTGGTTTTCTCACTTCTCCCGCCACTCCCAAGTAGAAGCAGCTTCCTTCAATTCAGAATGGACTATCTGAAACAAAAGGATAGAAACAAAAGAAAAAGAAAACGTCATCTTTTCCATTTATTTTTAAAATTATCAAAACACACTATGATTTATGTGATAGTTGGTAATCTACAGAATTATTTTTTTAAGATTTTATTTATTTATATTTGGAGGGGAAGGGAAGGAGAGAGGGTAAGAAATATCGATGTATGGTTGCCTCTCATGCGTCCCCTGCTGGGAACTGGCCTGCAACCCAGACATGTGCCTTGACTGGGAATCAAACTGCAATACTCTGGTTCACAGGCCCGCACTCAATCCACTGAGCTACACCAGCCAGGGCCAAAATTATTTTTAAAGAACAAAATTGATTAATGTTGTCCCCATATATGATAGAAATAATAATCTTGAAAATCACATCATGGTTAAATTGAGATATGTAAACTGCTGCTCAGGAACCCTAGAGATAAACAAAAACATCTAAGGACCATTTTGGAGACACAGTCTGAATAAACAGTGCACGATTTTGCTGAGAGAGAACAATTGATGGACTGAAAATTAAGATTCTGCACTAGCCATTCACTTTGTAAAGTGCATAAAATTAAGAAAGTACAGTGTGTGTTTTAATATGACAGCTTACTATTACAGCAAAATTTGTCTGAATTAACAGATGATCACTATTCATGTCTGAAGAATATAGTGTTATAAAATACACTTCCAATTTTAAAAAGAATAAAAGGAAGACTATTATGATTTTTAAAAGTATCACAAAATACTTTTATATGGTTGGACAAAAGTAGTTCATATGGAAAATAACAGTTGTTCATATGGAAAAATAACACAATAATTAGTAAATAATAATATGAGAATAAACTCTATATTTCACATACTCACAACTATAAACCTACTTTTTCCCTACCCTGTGTATGGAAAGGAGAACTGGTCTGTCAACCATGGTAAGACAATTAGTTTACCATTCAAAAGAGTTAATCTTTACTCCATACCACATATTAAAAATTTCCCCACCACACTTAAAATTTTAAAAGACTTTTTTAAAAGGCATGTATTTAAAAATTCCCAAATAGAGAAAGATTTTATAATAAAAGCATAGAATATAACACAAAAGAGCCAAACCACTCCCTTGAATACACACACACACAATAATTAATAATAATAATTAATAATAGTATGCATGAAAATATTCCCTGGTGACCAGGACCACTCCAGATCAGACTCTCTTTGCATGTGGTGGCACCTGTGGGGGACAATGGTCCAACAGATGCTGATCTGCCAAGACTCCCCACCTGCCTGACTCTCAAGCCCTTCCTCCATACTCCCAGAATTGTGGCTGATAATCTTTAAAAACATTTTCTTCTCACTATCTGGATGACAACTGGCTAAGGGCTCCCTTGAAACAGAATTGGATGCTCCTTTTCATTCTAACAGATACATGGTTAAGGTGGATGGTAAAAACACTGTACTGGATTATAAAGGGAATAGACAATAGACTCAATAAGAGACAATAGCTACATAAGAACACCACAAAAACTTTGCATTTCTGAATAGAGAAAAATATTAACAGTCCAAAAAAGTAAAAGGACACAATAGGTTACAGAAAATATCTCCAGTAAATATTATAAATGTGACACTGAGAATAAAGAAATAGTTCAGAAAAAGTTTAATGGCATATTAAACAATCAAACAAGTATATGAAAACATAAATCACTGTAAGAAATTGCTTACATTTTCTTACATGGAAAATGTAATGTATGGAAACAGAAACATATGGGAAAGTGGTTGCTCTTGTAGTTGCTAAAATATGTAAACTTAAGTAACAAGTATGCATTTTGGACTACTGTATATGTATTCAATAAATATAATACCTATTATGATAACAGACACAGTAAAAAGAAATGGTATCATCATTCAATTACTAGTGATAATGTCAAGTTCTCTTAAACTTTTAGAAAGCAATATGTCACTGCACTTTATTTTTTTAATCTTCACCTGAGAATATGTTTACTGATTTTAGAGAGAGGGGAAGGGAGAGAGAGAGATAAAGAGAAATGCTCATCAGTTGCCTCCCATACACACATTCAGACCAGGAATCAAACACACAACTGAGGCATGTGCCCTGACCAGGAATCAAACCCATGACCTTTTGGTATATGGTATGATGCTCCAACCGAGTCACCCATCCATCCAGGGCTCTGTCACTGTATCTTTAAATGCTGTAGTTATGTTTAAACTTTTTTCTCCAATATTACCTGTCCTAAGAAGTAAGCTATCCCCCCAAAAAAGTGACAAGGTATTCACTACAGTGAATTCATGATAATAAAAACTAGAGACATCCTCATCTTTGCAGTCCATTAAACAAATTACGGTCAACCAATGCAATATAATGTCATTTTATGTCCAAAAAATAATTATTAAAATAAAAAGTGAAAATTATTGTGTTAAGTGAAAAAAATAGAAATACAAAATTTTGCTATGTTAACACTAATGTACCTGAATTTTGATATGGCTTTAAAAGGCAAAATAAGAATAAAAATGTTGTTATTAAGCATGATACCTTGGTCTTCACATACCTTGATTATTGTTGATTTTATGTTGTCTGTGCAACAATTTTAAGTTTTCCCACTATAATATAGGAGGCATATAGTAAGTAAAACCAAATGATGCTAAAATGTTTTAAAAGATCACTTAAAGCTATACATATTATAGTGAAGATGAACTTTCTAGGTAGAGGTATCTCCAAGTGGGCCCTGTGGCTTCTTCTACCTGGATTAAATCTCAAAACCGGAGTGCTCTCTTCAAGGGTGGGCACTCTGGATCTTATTTATTAATGTTACCTATAGCACCTAGCTCAATTCCTGGAAGCATTAAAAGTTTAATAAATAAGTATCAATTTGAATGAATTGCACAATTATTGGTGGATGAAATCATATATAATGTATCAGACAATGTGAAGGAAAAAAGTTAACAGCCAGATAATTTAACTTTTGAAAATTCTGTCTCAAATACGTGCTTTTTTAAAGAAAATTCTTCTTTGTTCTACATTTTTCGGGTATATACTGACTTCAGGCACATACTGATTTCATTTTATTTTCACTTTGTATAAAGTCAGTAAGAATAAAAAACTGGGGGGGGGGACAGAATTTCACTGGCCAAATGAGAATATTTTAACTTTTCAGAAAATCCGATATTGAAAATTAGTCCACCAGATATTTTCCTACTCATCTGACCTAATAATAACATATAATAAAATCACTATTGATAACATTCTGACCAATTGTTTACTTACAACACAGCATGCTGATTTAGTTTCCCAGGACTGCTGTAAAAGAAATAATAAACTGGGTGGCTTAGAGCAACACAAGGTTATTCTCTCACGGTTCTGAAGGCAAGTCCTGAATTAAAATGTTGGCAGGTCCATCCTTCCTCTGGAGGTTCTAGGAAAAAATGCTTCTTTGTTTCTTCCTAGTGCCTGGTGTTGGCCAACAATCCTTGCAGCCCTTGGCTTGTGGGTGCATCAGTCCAGTTTCTGCCTCTATTGTTGCATGGTATTCTCCCTGAAGAATGGGAGAATTCTCCCTGAAGAATTCTCACTGCTTCACATAGCCTTCTTCTGAGTGTAGGTGTCTCAATGCCCAAAGTTCCCTCTTCATATATGTACAGCAGCCATTGGTTTAGGCCCACCCTAATCCACTAAGACCTCACCTTGACTTGACTGTATCTGTACAGACGATGTTTCAAAATTAGGTCATCCTCACAGGTGAGAGGGTCAAAAGTGGAGCATGTTGTTTAATGGAAATGATTTAACCACAACACACACAGGTATCACATTAAATTCATTTTTTAAGATACAGTCAGTGTTTCAATGTAGTATTACCAGAAAGGATAGACAAGAATCAAAACAGGATACTGGTCATTACGAAAGAAGTCATCATTTTCTAGAAGAGCCACCAGGGCACTGGTGATAACTCATATGAAATTAAAATGAAGACTTCAGGAAAGGTATTGGAGCATTAGAGAATTAATAAAAAAACTAGCCTCTTTTGGTTAACCACCAGTTCAGAATCTATTTAATGTTTCAGTCGGGAAGCCATTTGCATCAATGTTCCATGTTACAACGTAATACTTTGCTTTATATTTCCTTAAAATTGAGATTAATTGTTACTTAGTTTAACATTTTTATGGTAACATGAATTTCTTTCTTTGCCAAACACACTCAGGTACTAAAATATTACGAGCCCAGTGATTTTATATTATTGAACCAAGTAAAACTACCTAGGCTAATTGCAGACACAGTATTATTTTACATCATAATTTAGCAATGGTTGTTATGCTAAATCCTTTAACATTAGTTTTCACAAATATATGAGAAAAAGATGAGAACGGTCTAAGAATCAACTAAGAGAAGTACTACCTCATAACAAAGATATAAAATTAAGGAATAATGGTAACCTCATGCTGTTTTATGGAGCAATAATCTAGCTCCCAGCTTTATTTCAAGGCCATTCCTTCAGAAAAGGTGAATTTAAAACAGGAATATTAGCAACCTCACCCAGCCCATGTTAATCATTTCTTCCATGGTTAGATTTTTGCTACACAGAAAACTGATTGGATCCTTTCCTTTAACTCTGCTCTAGAAGTGAACTCTAAACTCCGGTCTCTTAGAAAACTAGAATAAAAAATCAATAATTCTTCTAATTTAAAGATATAAGATTTATACATCAAAATTTAAAAACAATTCTCAGAAATGGAATGAGGTGCTTAGGCTGGTCTACCAGGTGGTAGAGAGAGCAGAGAAGGAGAAATTTGTAGAGTTTGCATGACGTAGCCTAATCTTCTGTCTGTCTAATCAAACCTTCAGTAAAAGGAGTACCCAGACGTGCATAACTCTGGCTGAGTACACGTGACCATGACTCTGTGTCAGGCCTGGCATGGGACACGGACAGAAGCTGCACGTGGAATGCTGGGCCTCTTGCTGGACTGTGTAGACAAATGGCAGAGCCTCCCACCGGTCG